TTTATGGCATAATGTGTGTATTGCCTTGGTGATGTATGGCTGCATGCATCTGTTGTGATGTATGAAGCCGCTTTGACATAAGCCGCTTTATCCGCTTACAAGCCGCTTTGACACAAGCCGCTTTGATATGAGCCGCTTTGATACAAGCCGCTTTGACACAAGCCGCTTTGATATGAGCCGCTTTGATACAAGCCGCTTTGACACAAGCCGCTTTGATATGAGCCGCTTTGATATGAGCCGCTTTGATACAAGCCGCTTTGACACAAGCCGCTTTGATATGAGCCGCTTTGATACAAGCCGCTTTATCCGCTTTGACACAAGCCGCTTTGATATGAGCCGCTTTGATACAAGCCGCTTTGACACAAGCCGCTTTGATATGAGCCGCTTTGATACAAGCCGCTTTATCCGCTTTGACACAAGCCGCTTTGATATGAGCCGCTTTGACATAAGCCGCTTTGACACAGCTGCTATAATCATAACTATTTTTATTATGTTAAGCCTAATGTACATATGAATGTATCGCCGAGACCTTGATTTTCACACAACATAAATTGAGCTGCATTCTCCTCAAGATCAGAAGTATTCATCATCAACATCATCAACACATAGTAATAATCCAACTTCTCTTTTGGATAACCCTATTCCCAAACGGGTAAGTGCAATTCATTGCCGAGACCTTTTGCCGAGACCTTTTGCCGAGACCTTTCGCCGAGACTGTGTGCCGATGCTAATTTACTGTGCGTTTAGATAAGTCGAGCTGTTAATTACAATAGCGATCGTTTTTTAGCGTAATTTTCCGTTTTATATCATCATGCCTCGTGGGGAAAGACAATTTTTTGGTGATGAAGAGTTCTGGAAACCTGGTGATGAATGCCAAGACATTCAGCAGGGACTTAGAGCTCCTCCTAAGCCTGAGGCAAATTACCTGGAAAACCAAGAGTTGAATAGCTACAAAGAATATTCAGCTGCCCCACCCCACACCCGCAACCAACACAACTTTTTCAAAGGTATTTTTTATACTTCACTCCATTCATAATTTCGAAAAATATTAATGTTATTTTTAGTCCGTGGTATTGTCAACGTTGCGGGAATTCAAGAAACTTTCAATTTTTTAACTGTAATTGAAATCACCCCCCGCACTCACGTTGACGAACTTTGTGGTCGGATTCTCGATCGTGTCGAGTATCGTTTTGATGGTAAATGGCATGCGACGCGCTTTGAACGTGACGATGCCGAATATTACGGTGTTTTAATTGATGACGGTTTCGTTTTCATCAATTACGATTGGTGGCATGACATGGACGATGAGGCTTTTGCTAATCGTAATGCGCAATGGATGCGCATGCGAGATGGTTTGTGGCAAAAGCGTGACGATGATGAAGATTTTGTCATCGACGTCATTATTGATGTATATAGTGTTTATGCGTGGATTGATGAAACTAATTAATTTTTTTTTTTCTTTAATTAATACAGTGTGTTATGAATGTTTTGCAGTGTGTATTGTTGATGATCTCCATGCTTGAGTCTCAATAAGATGCTACGCTTTCATTCAGTGACCGCTAGCACACGTCGCTATCGTTCCACGTTTATACCACAATAGAACGTTACGCTTCTATTCAGTGATCGCCGGCGCGCATTGCTATTGTTTAACGCTTAGGCAACAATAAGACGCTACGCTTTCAGTCAGTGACCGCTAGCACACGTCGCTATTGTTCCACGTTTATACCACAATAGAACGCTACGCTTCTATTCAGTGATCGCCGGCGCGCATTGCTATTG